TAAACCTCTTGAATAGAATTATGGAATTGAGATCACTCAAAAATCATAAAAATTGAAAGAGTTATAGTCTTTGCAAGATGATGAACAAATTTGGGGAAATTCATAAAAGACCTATAATCTTTTCAATTCTTAAACAACTTTTCAAGCATTTTCAAGTCTTGCATATTGAATCAAAGTTGTAGTAGACATCCAAAAAATTATTTTAGAAAAAGAATGAGCTCAGGGAGATAAAAGATGATTAAGTTATGATCCTTTGAAGTCACACAAGAGAATTTGATAGCTTTCCCAAAGGACTTGTAATCTTTCCCAATCATTAGTGATCTTCCACTCAAAATTAACCTTAGATCCTTGAAGAGAACTTGTTAAATACCCTTTAAATAGAATCATGGATTTGGAATCAATCAAAAATCTCAAAAAGGAGTTAGATATGGTCCTTGGAAGTCAACAAACCCTAGCTCAGATAGTGTCAAAATGACTTGTAACCTCTTTCAACTTTTGATGACTTTCCTTGTACAATTGGATCTTGTCATGTGAAGAGGAATTGTTGTAGATGATGATAATAGTCCATAGCAAAAAGAACCAACTCAAAATATTAAAAATTGAGAGAGTTATGCACTTGTGATTACTGAATCAAGCACTTGCTCAATTAGGTCAAACTTGTTGAATCAACCTTGAATCTTTTGAACTTTTTTTGCAAAATAGAGCATGATGGATCACATTAGACCTTGAAATGATGTTTTATTGAAGCACACTCAAAGGTGGAGCTTAATTTTCAATGAAACTTGTTGAAAACGACATGGAAATAAACATATAAACCTATGAATTTTCTTGATGAATACCACTACCAACCTTGAGGAAAACTTGACCTATAAAATGAGAGAGTTATTTGAACCAAAAACTTTGACATTATAGACATAGCCTTGAAGGTTAAGCTCTTGCCATCTATTGAAGAACCCTTTGACTGGGGATCACCCCTCAAAACCCTAGGTTAGATGGTGAGATAGATACAGTTGTGTCATCACCTACAATATGAACATTCAAAGAAACATATATACATACTTTGATGTTATTTAAAAGTTAATCCACCTAAAAAAACATGTACAAGATACACAATTCAAGGTGCTTGGTGATCCCTCAAGAGAAAACTTAAAGATAGGATGAAGTAGAAAGGGAGAACCAACCCTAATGTGTGATCTTGATGTATTGATAATATGAGATGATGAGATATCTTAGGGGGGAAATTGGGGTATAATACTATGCCTTTATGCTCAAAGCAAAAATATCTAGAGTTGGATGGTAGATTGTCTTTGACATTAGTTGTGACATTATTCCTTGATCTTATGTCAAGTCTTATCTTAAATTTGCCAAAAAAAATTTCAAGTAAAGCAATAGAATCAAATATGTTATCATCAGTATCTTCTGAAGGTGTGAGAAACACAAGAAAATGGGGGATTTGAATTGGGTTTCACCAAATAAAATCTTTTCGTTCGTGACAGAGCAAGTTAGCTTAGAACATTACAATAAATGAACACGGTGATTTTTTATCCTGGTTCATTGTTAACTAAGCTACTCTAGTCCACCCCTCAAGGATGATTTCTCCTTCAACAAAGACTTAATCCATTATAACCAAACTGATTACAGAACAACCCATAATAAGTCTGATCAACCTTATTGACACCCCCAATAAGTTCGTTAATCCTTATTGTAAATCCGTTTAAGGTGCAACAGGAGTCTTCTTGAGATTAAACCTTTACTCAGTATCTCAAGGTATTATTCAATAAGAATTGAGTACTTTCAGTGTATTAAAGATTTGCTTCTTGTAAGCAGACTACACATACTTTTCAGTATAATAAAAAACACTTAAGTGTTCTACTGCAAGATACGAGCAACACCTCCTTGGTTATTTACAAAACTATACATATATGATTTCTCTACAAAGTTTTCACAATGCTTTGGTGTAGTTTTGTTGAGCTTTATTTGAGCCGATAGATTTGTCGTTGTAGGGTTGTTTCTTACTTTTTTTCAGCTTCCAAGTCTTCCTTTTATAGCTTGTAAAAGAGATCTGTTGAAAGGGTAGAAAGGTAAATTGCAAATCTAGTTGTTGGTTCTCAACAGTTATAATGAGAGTAGTCCTAATCAAGTACAAAAGGATTGTCCTTGCGCCACTCTAGAAGAGTAGAGGTCATAGACACTTTATGTACCTTTTGTACACTATCACACGTTAACTATTTTGAACTTTTCTTCTTATTTTCATAGGCTTCAGATATTTGAGTGTTGAATGTTGAAGCTTGTTGTAGAAGAATCTTTATTTAAGTCTTAGAACCTAAGTCTTGGAGTCTTCAGAACTTGTCACACAGAACCTTGTCTTTAGAGTCTTCAGCACTTGGTTGTAAGAACTTGCTTTTCTTCAGATCATTAGAACTTGTTCAGCAGAACCTTGTCTTCATAATCTTCAGAACTTGTAACACCTATAAGTAAAGCTTTAGAAGGCCTCCAAAGCTTAACCGTAAAGTCACGATCAGAACCTATTGTACTAACATTCCTTATACACGTTGCAGAAGATAGATTCAGAACCTTGACTTTAACTGTAACATGTAACCATATGTTTTCTTCCAGTAGTGTTTGTTAAGAACCTGATGACATCACACGCCTTGTACTAGAGTCAGAATATTATAACAGCAGTTACACACTAGAACGAAACTATTAGTGTATATAATTTTTCTCTAAGATAACATGTAAAGTTATCATCAAAATCTCAAGGCTAGATGTAGAAACACTTATTATTCTTACATCTTCTTCAACATGTTCCTCATTATTTTCAACGTCAGCTTTGAAGGCAACACCTTTGTTTCTTTTCTATGATTTATCATTGATAGTCATCTCAAAGGTAAGTAATGAGTCTATGAGTTTATCCACTTTGATAGTGCCAATGTACAGAGCTTCTTCAATTGCTATAACTTTCATGTCAAACCTTTTCAGAAGAGATCTGGAAAAAAAATTGTCTAGCTTTTCTTCATATTTTTTTGACTAAGATCAAATGAATTATTGGCTATGTCACAAAGTTGAACATTGAAATAAGTAATTATTTCATCTTCTTTCATTATTACATTTTCAAATTTGATAGTGAAGAGTTAAAGCCTTGACATGCGTACTTTTGAAGTGCCTTCATGAGAAGTCTTGAGAGTCTCTCAATCTTATTTAGCAACTAAACACATATTGATGCCTCTAAAGATGTTTTGTCAACTTCGTTGAAAATGACATGAGAGCACGAGAGTTTCCATGAGCTTCTTCATATTCCTCTTTAGACCAATCTTCTTTTGGTTTTGGGGATTTTGTGCCATCTTGTGTAGTAACCATTGGGGGATGCCTATCCTTTATTGTTTGCTTTCCATGTTTTGTTATCCATTGACTTGAAGAAATCAACCATGCGGACTTTCCAATAATCATAGTTTACGGGATTTAGAATACATGGTCGATTTACATATTCTCCTTCTTTAGCATTGTCCATTTTAAACATAATGTATTGATCTCCTAAAGCTCACCCAACCAAAACAAGATGCCTTATTTGATTCCAATTGGAATTCTTTTTTTCGAATTCCAAGATGTTAGACACAATATTGTAATAAAGTGTATGACAAAACTAATATGTAATCAGTAAAATAATAACACGATAAGTAAAATGACGCAAGGAATTGTTAACCTAGTTTGATGCTCAGTCACCTACGTATGGAGGACATTAACCCAAGAAATGAAATTCACTATTAAGAGTCAATAGTACAAATTTGTCTTATTTAAACCCTTTTAGTTCAATGTCTATTTTCCTAGTACTACACAAAAGGAAAACAAAATAAAAAACAAAAGACTTGAAACAACTAAACACGCTTTGCTTGATTCTCAAGGTATTAAATTTGTACAATGGGGAGCTCCTCCCTAAATAGCAACAAAGTTCAATTGCAAAACCCATTAGAGTTTGTATCTTTTAAACGTGGTTGAATCAATCTCACAAGCGCACAAAACAAATCTTCATTAAGTTTATTTACTTTAATTGATTTGCTAAATCTTCATCAGATCGGATATGTCTTTTTAAATCTTGGCGAATGATCTTTTGAGAAAACAAAAGCGCATAAAACATTTAAACAAGATTAGACAAATAGATAAACAAATCTTCACACACATACTTCTCTCAGCACAAACTAGCTTTTGAACAGGACTCAATGTATCATAGCCCGTCGAACATTATACTCCACATATTATTTCCTAATTTAAACTCATAGAGACAATATTTACACAATACTATAACATCTTGCTCCACATATTATCTATTAAAATGACACAAATGAAATGTAACAACAGAGGTAATAATTAACATCCCCTTAAGATAGCCCATAAGATAATTACAAGGCTAGAGATGCCCTATCTAAATGTCCAAGAAACCTTTATGGCAATATTCCATGAATAGATATATTTTTTGTTTTAAAAAAAATAAAACAAAAGTTTTTACTTTGACTAAGAATCATAATTTATTTATTTACAAAGACTACAAATTTATTTAATGTAAAAGTATATGATATGTTTAAGACTGTTTTCTCAAAAGCAATATTTATATAAGTACTACTTAAATTTGCACAAAATTTATTTAAAGTAAAGTACTCTTTTAATTTTCCTTAATAACAGAAGCATGCAGTATAGAACCAAAAGAACATAAGATTCGTGTCTGAAATGGTCTAATTTCGCCACAACCACCGATCCCACACCCTCTATTTGTCCGCATCCACCATCTCTCTGCACTCACCGTCACTGCTATGCACCAACACACTCGCATCATCGTTGTTTTGTCCCTTGTTTCACACATTTTTCATTTCTTTTGAAACTACCCAATCATTCCTTCATTGTGTTTTTCCTTTTCACGCTAAGATCTGTTCTTCCTTCCCTATCCCGCCTCAGATGCAGACTCTCCCTCCATTGTCTTGCATCAGAGGTTTTCTCCCCTCTTCCCTCTCATGAATCTCGCTCTCCCTTTGAATTTTTTCACCCAACTCGGATGTGGCTTCGTTCTTTTCACATGTCTCTCTCGCTTTCTCAATTTTCTCGGCATGGTTTTGATGCTGGGTTTCTGTTTCAAGATTCTTCAATTCGGTTGGCGTTTTAAGGGTACACTGCGTTTCCTCTGTGATTTTGGAGGCATGCCCAGGATTCGTATCTGTTTGGAGAACATGATTTGGGAAGTTTCTAAGCCAAAGGTTCCATCTTTGGAGAATGGGTCTGACCCGAATACGAATTCTGTGATCAGCAAGAGCTCTAATGTTGCTGGAGAGAAAATGAGAGATACTTCGGAGAATGGGTCGGAAGGAAAAGACGAGAGTGAATGGGAGGTTGGGGATGTGGATGAGGTGTTTGATGTGAAGACTCTGAGAAAGTTGATAAAGTTTGAGCGCAAGAAAGCCAATGCTGCTTTTGCGGAACTTGACCAGGAACGAACAGCTGCTTCTTCATCGGCGGATGAGGCAATGTGGATGATTGTCCGGCTTCAGAATGAGAAGAGCTCGGCTGAAATTGAAGCTAATCAGTTTCGCAGAATGGCTGAGCAGAGATTAGAGTATGATGATGAAGTGATTGAGTCTTTGCAATGGACGATCTCACGGCATGAATCTCATAGGAGTGTGTTGGAAACGCAGTTGAGGGTTTATAGGGAAGAGCTCTATCAACATCTTGAGAAGGATGATATAGAACAACTTGAAGCCAGTCTTAGTAGGGTTAAGAGTTTTGAGAAAGAAGCTGTTGATTCCCGGATAGAACAACATGAAACCAATGTTAGTAGGGGCAAGAGTTTTGAGAATGAAGGTGTCGATTCCGGGATAGAACAACTTGAAGCCGAATTTAGTAGGGATAAGAGTTTTGAGAACAAAGCTGTTGATTCTGGGATAGAACAACCTGAAGCCCAAGTTAGTAGGGGTAAGAGTTTTGAGAATGAAGCTGTTGATTCCGAGATAGAACAACTTGAAGCCGGAGTTAATAGCGATAAGAGTTTTGAGAACGAAGCTCTTGATTCTGGGATAGAACAACTTGAAGCCCAAGTTAGTAGGGGTAAGAGTTTTGAGAATGAAGCTGTTGATTCTGGGATAGAACAAATTGAAGCCAATGTTAGTAGGGGTAGGAGTTTTGAGAATGAAGCAGTTGATTCTGTAGTTAGCACTTCTGAAACTGGATCACATAGCTTGTAAGTTCCCAAGGTTGTGTTATATACAAACAAATGCTTTTGCTTCACTTTTCTTTTGACCTGTTTTTGTGTAGTGTAAATTGTATTAATCCATAACTTTAGTATCGATAATCTTGAGCGTTAATGTATATATTGATTGATATTGATGTTTTTTGCATGGTAATTAATTAGACTCCAGTTTCAGGTTTGTTAGTGTAGCGGATATTATAACTTTGCTGCATGAAATGCATCCACACACAGATTTCCTGTAGGCATATTAGAGAGTATTCTTTGTTTGCCTCACAAGTCATGTCATTTCTCACACTACACCAGAACTGCATACATATTAACCTTTCTGTTGTGATGAACTGTATCGTTTTCATCCTCTTCCTACTCGCACTTATCCTACAAAGTGTTGCAGTAATACTTCCAAGGTTGTTCAACAAAATGATCGTGTTCTTTGTTATCCTTAAGGATTAAATGAAAATTATGCATCTATATGGTTACAAATCCACTTCCAAACAAAGTCTTCTCACTGATTTATCAACAAAATGGTTGTATCTTGCTGGATCCAAGCATATTGATGTCGTCGTTGTTGTTGTTGTTGAAATGATCGTATGGGTAACACTTCATTCTTTAAATATGTCTTTCTACATGGATAGTCTACGGAAAAAATCAATAATCTATCAACAATACTTGCACATGAAGCTACATTAGTTTCACATTCCCCTTTGTTTGAATTCTACTGGTGGGCAATTTCAGGGTCTCTTGCATTTCTTATCTTCCTCCTAGCAAAACTAATGCAATCCTCAATGCTTATTCCTACAGCACCCACAAGAACTTATGTAAAAAAGATGTTACATGGTATAATTATTGTAATTGATGTCTTTCAAGTGAACTAGTTAGGAATAGTTTGTCAAAATTAGAGCTTCACCAAGTTCCAAAGCCTGCCCATGAGAGCTTGATGAAACTAAAAGTTTAGCAGGATCTCTCTGCTATTAGTTAGAATTTTTGGTGTACAGGGTAATTTGGTAAGAACTAATCAAAAAAATTCCAAATACATGGCATATGATTTCGTTCAATTTTTTAAAATTATAATGTCGTGTTTTTGTATGTGCTTTATATGTAGTAACTCAATAAGAAACTTTTTGATAGGAAAATAACAATGTCAAGACCAATACGGTACAAATATAAAATTTCTGATACTTGTAAAAATCAACGAGGATCAACAACAAAATGTAAGAAATCAATGAAGATCAACAACAACTATATGAAATAGAACAAATAAAGTCATTAAAGAACAATGATATTGTAATGTGAAAAATTCTCAAATTCTCAAGGCAAGAGTAAAAAACTATGGGTTATCTAGAACAAAGAAATAATTACACTATAATTAAATAAGAATACAAGAGAGTTTCAAAGTGATTTACAAACTATTGTTAACAAATTACAAAATATACTAGCTTACAAATAAAAAACAAGAAGTCGAAAAATATCTAAATTTGCAATTTCTGTGAGAGACAATTATCTTTTAGTTTAAACTTCGTTTTAAAGATCCCAACAATCAAAAGATATACATGCCCTTCAAAAATGAACTTATCTAACAATTAATGAATTTGAAATCGCTGATTTAATAAGAGTTGTTGTAGAAAAATACGAATTAATTTCTCTCTTATTTTCTCTCAAATATGAATATTGAATTTTGTGTATGCCTAAATATTTTTAAATTATGATTTTTTGTAATAACAAAAAACTATAATTTACAAATATTTAGTTCATATGCCAGTAGATTTTCTATTACATGCGGACAAGTGTCTATATAAGATAAGTAATTTGCAGTATCCTTTCTGACGATTTAGAATTTCTGTGTCAATTTTAAAAATTGACCCAATAAAAAGAAAGGTATTGAAATAATATCACATTGACCTTTGAGTCAAAAACAAACTTCTTTATTATTATATTAAACAACTTCATTTCATATTAGATTGAACAACTAATTTTTATATATTTATTCAAATTTATAATTTATAAAATATAATTTTGCGACTCTTGTTTTTTGGAAATCTTTGACAGTGGGCTTGGTTGCGCAAGTCCACAGTCGACCCTAATAATTTGAATATTCCCCTATTCACTATTAGTATAAGTAAATAAAAAATAATATTAAAATTTAATCATTATTATAAGTAAAGTGAATAATTTTTAAATTAATTTGTGTTTGTATTACTAATATATCCTTGATTTAATTTAAAAATATATAATATTAGTAGTTGATTTATTAAATTTAAATGTTATTAAGAATATTGTAATAAACTAATTTTTTTTTGAAAAAAAAAACTATTCTTTATTTAGGTTGAACCATAGTTGGGCTTTTGCCCATCAGGAGAATTTTTTAATACATCTTTATAGATTTTTAGGGGCCTTTGTAAAAATTCTCATAATATCTTCTGAATTCGGATATGCATATCCGAACAAGTCTTATTTTTTCTATAAAATACTTAATTTTGAAGATGTATATCTGAAAATACAATATATATATATATATATATATATATATATATATATATATATATATATATATATATATATATATATATATATATATATATATATATATATATATATATATATATATATATATATATATATATATATATATATATATATATATATATATATATATATATATATATATATATATATATATATATATATATATATATATTCGGATATGCATCTCCGAATAAATCTTATTTTTTACGAAAAAAATGTTTTTCAGATATGCATATACGAAAAGTTCTCTATTGTGTTTTTTTAAATATATTGTTCTTTTAATAAATTAAAATTTTAATATTACTTTGTCTATTTAATTTGATTAAATCCTTAAGAATGAAAAAAAAAACATTTTCAATAATTGGAAATAAAATAATCATATTTGTAATAATAAAATAATAAATGTCTTTTAAAATTTTTAAAAATGATATATTTAAATCAATGCAAAAGTTAAATAAAAATATATATAATTATATTGATAAAAAAATTTCAATATTGCTAAAATTTCTATTCACTTGTGTTTATTAAATCAATCCTAATTTATTATAAACAATTTTTTATTTTCTAAATTTTAAAGTTACTTTGATTTTGTTTTTATTTTATTCCTAATTTTACTATTTTTGTTTAAAAAAAAAAGCACAAATCAAGAATTTTTCAGAGATGTATATATATGAAATTATCTTTTTTTTATAAAAGAATAGGGGTTTTTTCGGATATGTATCTCTGAAAATACTTTTTTTATATGGTGTGTTCAGATATACATATCTGAAGGGTATTTTGAGATTTTCAAAGGTTTATTTCAACTCCATAAGAGTGGAATAAGAAATTCTCCATTATCAATTACAATAAGGTTTTTTCACTTATGGCTCTTTTAGCTAAATAATGAGCCAACTCATTTTGTGATCTACTAATATGGACAAGAGTCTATTTTTTGAATTCCTTTAGGATTTCACAAATATTGTGTATCATCCTCCCGACACTAGTATGATCTTCTTCGCTATAGTTAGGGATATATATGGGTCGGTTTGAGTTAAATTTAGCCAAAATCATAATCCAATACGTATATGATACATTGGTTTGAGTGAGGTAAAATAACCACCACAATATCATTGAGTCGATTTGAATAAAACCATAAATTAATAGGTTGGATTGGGTAGTGGATTACCCAATTTTATTTCTTCCTTATATAATTATTAATGATGTGTCATATTTTTTTCTTAATAAATGATTTAACATATTACCTATTTCCTTAAACATCAAATGTTTAAATACACGATAAAATTTTAATAGAATAACTATATAGCTGTTTGTTTATAATAGCTAATTGTAGTTTATAATAGATATATTCTACGGTTAGCTTAGCTTGATGAGCTGACAGTGGCAGCTGTCACTGCAGCCAGCAACCACTTTATAACAAATCTTTTGTAACAAACTCATTCAAGAGTTTGAGTTTAAATCAATAACAAACTCTTTCTTCTCTCTATACTACTCCTGTCCTTTTTCTATTATGGTATCAGAGCTTATGATCCACGACTTCCCCTGTAAATTCAGCGTCAGCTTCGAACGATGAAAACTCATTGTTGCAGTAACCAGTTTCGTCTACTCTGAAGAATGTGTTCAAGACGTTCGCACATCAGATTAGCATCAAACTCGATAACAACAATTTTCTCTCATGGAAGCAACAAGTCGAAGGTATCATTCGCATTCACAAGCTTCATCGACATCCGGTGAATCCGGTGATTCCTCTATGTTTTCTCATGATGGAGGATGGTGAATATGACTCTGAGAATCTGGCGTATCAGGTTTGGTATCAAGAGGATTCTCTTCTCTTCACGTGGCTTCTAACGACTCTCTCTAATGTCGTTCTTCCCCGCGTCGTCAAGTGCGTTCGTAAGCATGAATGTGGTCTGTCATCGATCAATTTCAACAAACACATATCTATGCAAAATTGCGCCAGCTTCGATATGAGCTTCGTAATATATAGAAAGGAGATCGTACGATTGCACAGTATATAGGCCGCATTCAACCAATTATTGATATCTTAGAGTCAATTGGTGATCCGGTGTCGCACCGTGATCAGTTGGAAACGATCATCAACGATTTACCACCTAAGTATCAAGCCTTAGCTTCGATTATTCAGTATCATGACAAACCTTATGATATTGTTGTTGCTGAAACGATGTTTCTCTCTCATGAAGCAAGGCTGGATCGTACTCCTCGTGTTGCATCTCAAGATTCTCTCTCTGTTAATCTCACTCAAGGTACTGCAACATCTGCTGCTAACTCTACTGTTGCTACCTTGGCTGAGTCCACTACACCTGAATTTGCACCATAGTTTGAGGATTCTCATGGTAGACATGGTGGTAGATCCTCTCACTCTAGAGAAGGAGGCCGTAATGATGGAAAAAGTCGTGTTCAGTGTTAGATTTGTGCTAAAACTGGTCATGATGCTAAAGTCTGCTACTACAGACTTGC